AACATAGCATAGCAAATAGAATGCAGAATATAAAATCGAATAGAATATGGAATTAGAATAGAATAGAATAGCATAGCATAGCATATAGAATAGAATACAGAATATAGAATAGAATAGAATAGAATATGGAATTAGAATTGAAGGATGGGATAGAATGGAATAGAATAACATAGCATAGCAAATAGAATGCAGAATATAAAATCGAATAGAATATGGAATTAGAATAGAATAGAATAGCATAGCATAGCATATAGAATAGAATACAGAATATAGAATAAAATCGAATAGAATATGGAATTAGAATTGAAGGATGGGATAGAATGGAATAGAATAACATAGCATAGCAAATAGAATGCAGAATATAAAATGGAATAGAATATGGAATTAGAATAGAATTAGAATGGAATTAGAATCGAATGGAATGGAATGGAATAGAATATGGAATATAATAGCATAGAATATAGAATAGAATGCAGAATATAGAATAGAATACAGAACATAAAATTAAATATACTCACTAAATGAACACCATGGTAAACAACAAAGCTCAATTCCAACACAATGTCACATGAAATAATTAAATCAAAATGAAAAGGATGGAAGGCTGAGTCAACCCTGAGCCGGTGAGATTTGAACAGCCGAACTGCAGAGCTGCAGTCAGCTGAAGTAGCCTGCAGTGCTGCATTTAACCACTGCGCCACCTCGGCTGTTGATTAAGTATCCTATGTGGCTTGAGAGCCTGTAGTATATTTTCCTACACACAAATATCAAAATTCAATAAAGCTTTTATCTCAGTGTGATGCCATTTCCTTCAGAGACAGTACTTCTTTAAGGTGGGTGTGGAGTAAGTGTGATTGTTTTGCCTTTTCTCTCTCTTGTGATTGCCAGCCACTAATTCCACATGAAAGTTGTGGTCAAACCTGCAATGGAGTAGGCCTCGTGGGGACATCCATTAATTTGTCCATTGGTTTCATTGTTGCTGACATTGCTGTGGCAAATATATGTGTGTACCTGTGTGGGGAGGTTTGTTCAGAAAAGTTTATTCAAACCACCTGCTTGATGATGTGCTCATTTTATGAGACCACTGTTAATTCTGACACGTTCCTTGTGGTTCCTTCAGCTGGGCAGGAACCACTTTCGTTGTCTTAAAAGCCCTTTTTCAAATTGATTTTTGAGAGAAGCATAAGGAAAAGCTGATTTAGTGACTAATGTCACTGTAAGAGTCAGAACAGAATTTTAAAATTCGTTTTCCATTTGTAGGGAGGGTGGTGTGATTTTTTTTTTAAAAAAAAGCTCATTGGTGCTTAATACACCTGTCTTAGTTCTTGATTGATGAAAACCATGAGAAATTGCGCAGTTGATACTCAGCAGCTCACTGTCATGATGTGGTGGTTTGAAGGCTGCAAAGAATAGGGTGATGGCTGCTTACAGCCTATTTCATTGCAAGGCTGTTTACCTCTGACTTTAGTTTGACGGCTTTTTCTCCCCATCCTCCCCATACCTTGCATTTGTCCCTTGGTTGCTTTCTTTGGTTGTCTGGCTTGGCTGTTGACAGTGCTTAAAATGAGGAGCAGAGGAGGAGACTACCTGATTACATTGGCATTGGGCAGTTGCTAATCTGTTCCTAGTTCCCAGTGTCTATTAGTAGTTAGCTTTAGGAGAGCTCCCTGTTGCAACTTAATTTGCCAGAGGAAGCAATTTCTTCAGATTCTCTCTCCTATCTGCATATAATTGTTTGAAATGCAAGGTAATAGAATTTGGACAATGACAGCTATCCCCAAAGACCTACGAGAGCCTCCCAAGATATGAATACATAAAAAATAATCTGAAACCTTCATAAAGGACTATTATAATGCTTGCTATTCTTTCGATTTTTCTGATCTTAGTGGGTTATTGTTTACTAAATGTATGCATATATGTATTAATGCTCTGAAATAATTTAAGGCAATATTAAAATTGTGTATGTAAACTCATTCACCCAATCCCTCTGTGCCCCTCTGTGAGGAAGATGGGGAGTTAATAAGTTTAATAGATAGATAAATGAATGAAACCTGCACACTCTAAAATGAGGAGGAGGGGAGGAAGAAAGAGGAGGAAGAGTTGGTGGTGGTGGTAGAGAAGGAGGAGGAGGAGATGATGATGATTGAGAAGGATTCTCTACTTATTTGCTTCCTAATACATCTTTCTTGGCATGGCATTTAAAGAGGAGCCTTCAAGGCTGATCTGAAAGTACAGATAAAAGTCCTGGAATTGAGCATTGGTAACTCTAAAACAGTATATCTCAAAAGACGTTCCTTGTATATCCTCGGGAACTCTGAAACCATTCAAAATGTCACATTAGTATCTTACATCACATTAACAAAATCTCATGATGTTTCAGTTTTGTGGGAGTTAGGACAGACTCTGTACTGAGCCCCGGCTGTTGTCTATAAAGAGACAGCAAAGTATTGCTGTGATGTAAAGAACTTCTAGTTTCAGTTGACAGCCCCATAATGTCATTGTAAATAAATGAAATTTCTGGACCCTTCGCAAACATAACCTCATATACAACATATTGCAATAATCCAAAAATAAAGGGCGTCAGTTGAAGTATCTTTAGCAGTTCAAGCATTATTTCTTGGAACAGTTTTTGAGTTAGCCCCATTAAGTTTTGCTTCAATTGTGCTAAGTAATTTATAACTCTCTTTAGAACTGATCCCATAATTTCCTTTGGAATCCATATCAGTTTTTCCTTCTCCTCTTCCTCCTCCTCTTTGGGGAAAGTGGTAGAGATGAGAGATTAAAACTTGAAATAATTCAGTTCTTCTCCATACCTCCATGGAAAATGTGTTACAGTCTCTCTAAATGTTTCAGGCTATATTCATAGTTCATCCAGACAAACTAAATCTGGAATTACGCATCTCCAGCATGAGTGTTGCTTTTTGAGATGAAATGTTGACACTTTTAATAGAATTTGTTGTGTGCCTATGCCTGTGTGAATGCATGTGGGGTATGCAAATGTGTGCATGAATAATATGTATATATTTTTTATTCCTTTATAGCTAATTTGAGGCCTTTATAGTTTAAGTCCCTGCAGGAGATTGGTAATGATGACTGGTAATAGGTCTCCCACTGATACTCATTTTTTGTGCTTTCTATACTATATTTCATTGTCACTGTTTGCAAATGTATTGGTTATTTCCATTGCAGAAACTGTTATCCTGCGCTGCTTCTCTTTCATTTGGTCATCCACAACTGCATCATTTTATTGAGCATTTCAAAAATGAAATAAAATGAAATGCATTTTTTGATTAATTTCCGAATACTCTCTGGTATATTTCTGGTCATTTTGGAGATCTTCCTTTCCTATAACTATTTAATAAGAAGTAATCAAATAGCTGAAAAGAAAGATTTGCTTTCATGAAAAAGTATTGAAAGATTAACTGATTTTGGAATACTTAATTGTGTATTTTGTGTACTTCTCAAATTGGGGGTGTTCCCCTACAGGATATGTCAAAGGGGATACTGTAGTCCTGAATATGTAATTAGTGACTGGATTATTAAAATAACAAAGGGAGCTGTCAATCTAAAACCTGTGGTTATAAATCCCGGCCTGCATCATGATATAGATTCCTGTTTTAGTGCATGTGAGGCCCCTCTTATATCTGTAATTATTTTCTGTGGCCAGCACAATGAAGAGGCAGAAGGTAGCATAGGAACCTGGTGTTATACAACTGTTCCCTCCATTTTTCATGTTGATGTTTTAGCTGGAAAAATCATTGGACAATATGCTTATTTGGCCTTGATGAACCTTTGATTGCATGCCATCAAGTCAATATCAAATCTTAGTGATCACATAGATTTTCTCCAGGATCACTTATCATTGCAATCATTAAGCCCTTCAATTTGCTAATCTTGCACAGTTCTATTTTTAACTCTTCTCTTTTTGTGTATTAATCCCTGCAGATTCAACTAATAGTGGATCAGCTAAATCAAAGGTAAGATCTCCTCTGGATTATTTCTGCATTTGAGAGATGTTGGGGATGAGAAAAAGATGGTTAAGCACAAGGCCCTTAAACTCCCCAAGTTGGAAGTAAAGAGTTTGTGTTACTTTGATAGTTGGTATGTCTTGATTTAAGTTGTTTTAAAAATAAAATAACAACAACCTTGTAGACACTCAAGCATGATACATTTTTCGACTAAACAGCCATGGCGTAGTTTTCTGGTGTTATGATTTTTTGCCAGCAGCTGCAATTGGCCTTTTCAGAGTGCTGCTCTGTAATGTACTTCTCAGCAGGTTGCAAGCCACTGAGTTGTAGTCCAGTGTACAGACTCAACTTACCCTTTTCTTTCTTGCCTTAAACTAAGTATAAGATTATTCCACATCTCCTCTCATGCTTCTTTTCTTTTTTATATCTTTTTCTGGTTGGTTTTATATGTATATGTAGCAATGAATACACTGTTCTAAATCATTATACCACCACCCCCGCCCCCCAAAAAGAACTGGAAGCCAGAAATTAGTTGCATAGTGTGCATAGTACACTTAATCCAAAAGAAGAAGAAAAGTTGGACAGAGAAGAGAATCTCTGAGAATCTTTAACGGGAATATCTGCAGGTGTTTTAGTGCATTTAGGGGATCCTAAAATTAGAATTTCTAATTGCTCTATATGCAAATATGTTTCCCAAAACAGGGGAAATAATTCACTTCTTTAAAAGCAAAATATGCTTATGCAATAACTAATCTATATTGCTAAGGATTCTGTAGAGTAAGACATTACTATCCAGGGCAATCCATCAAATAAACAATGCCAATGTCACTGGATATTTTTCTGGTATCTGTTCTTTAGCACCTCTAAAATGCTCCTTTTTTTTTGCTTCTGTTCCAGGCTTCATGTGGCTCACGGAAAGAGCACTATCATAAAGAGATGCTTGCCATCTCCTTCATCTCAGCCGTCAACCGCAAGAGGAAGAAGCGGAGAGAGGCCAAGCGTTTTGGGAGCAGCACAGATGATGATTCTGAGCATGAATCAGCTGTCAAGAGAGACGAGGAGGAGGAGGAAGAAGTGGCTCAGGAGGAAGAAAGAGAGGCTGAAAGATTGGGGAATAGCAGCAGAGCTCCAGTTCCTGATGTGCAGGATGTCTTCCAAAGCCGGGCAAAATTAGAAGCAGAGCAAGTAGAAAGAAAAGTGGCACCCCGAGGAAGCCCAGAGTTGGCCCTGGATGCCCGCTCAATTGTTTCAGGTTACTCCACTCTGTCTACCATTGATCGCAGCCTATGCTCTGAGGTGCAGTCAGTAGCAGAGAGCCGTGGGGAGGAGGCAGATGATGAGCGGAGTGAATTTAGCCATGTGGAGACAGATACTGAGAATAGCTTTGTGCCAAAACAGCCTGGGATGCTTCCCAAAGGAGCTGGTGTGGCAGTAGTGGAGGAAGGGGGGGCTGCTGCTTCTGAAAAGATATCACACAACCGAACCTCCTTTAGTTCCCATCACCTCATGCAGTGTGACACTCTGGCACGGCGCAAGCTTTTGCGGCCCCGACACAATAGTGAGTCTTCTTCCAAGGGTAGCACTGATGTCCCAAGTTCCAGTTCCCCAGGCAGTCAAGAGTCATTGCAGCCTGTGGGTGCCCCTGAGATCCACACCCGGCTTTCCCTCACAGAACAACTTCGACTCCGCCTCCGCGGCTCTGCAGATGACATGCTGGCTGTGCGCCTGCGAAAGCCACACTCACCTGAGACACGGCGCAAGAAGAACAGTTGGCGGCGCCATACTGTAGTGGTCCCTGGTGGTCTCAAAGACCTCAATTATGAGTGGAAGGAACAACATGTATTGGGGACTACTGAGGCTGGTCCACTAGACTCCTCAAATAGAGGTGCGCTAAGGGACAACAAAGACTCTGGGCTTAGCAGCCTAGAGTCAACTAAAGCTCGGTCTTCCTCAATCACACCAGGGAACATGACAGTTCCTAACCAGCAGAGTGAGCCACAGCATCGTAAAGGCAGCTCTGAGGGGCGTTCAGCTCCCCGACGTACAGCCTCTTTACGTTTCCACCAATGTCTTTAGATAGCCTTTTGTTGAAGCTCTTGTAGAATGGATGAAAGGAAAACTTGGCTTGCCCATGGTAACAGCCTTGTCTTGAGAATGGAGGAGGGTGCTCACAGGTGCAGCCACACTTGAAAGTTCCAGTACTGGCCTTACTTTGTCTTTTTTCATACCTCGATCTGCAGTGGAGCAAGAAACTCTCCTCCTACCTACCCCATACTTATCTTTGCTTTCTAATTCCCCCAGATATTAATTTAATCACATCATGGTTTTGTGATTTGTGAATTTATTTATTCTCCTCTTTCCTTATCCCCAGGATGGCAGTCAAAAACGAAACAAAACAAAAAAGCTGAGGTAGGTCTGATACAAGGAGGGCCATTCATTCAGCCCATTGAAAGATCTTGATTTGGGATTGACTAGAGTTATCCAATTGATGGGATAAGCAGCTTCATCCCTGCTTCAAAATGCTGGATCTGCAAATAAAGGATATTTTTGGAGGAGGAGAGAATCAGAAATAGAATTCCTCCAGTTAATTTTCCTAATTTTCATTAGTCCATGGTACCTCTTTTCTGTATTTATCTGAAAGAGGCCTTGGAACTGGGCAAACCAGATGAGAGTTATTCATGAATTGAGCCCGCTTCCATTTAATCACTGCTGTGGGTTCACATTGACACGATGGATTCCTCTCTACCCAAAGTTCCTCTCACTGTTATCTAAGTGGCAGTTGATTGCGTTGGGAGGTTTTGAATGTTCCCCTAAAAATATCCATTGCTCCTTTTCTACCTTTCCTCTAGAAAAGCAAATTCAAAAATCTTCCATCTATCATAGCTTGGCCTTTGTCAGGTTCCTACAGGGAGGGTTGTATCATCTTGACTCCTAGCACATGCATCAAAATCTTGTAGATATAAGCAAACTCAGGATTATGTATGGTATAGTCTCAGCTGCACTTGAAGACTGTTTCATGTGAAAACTGCAGAGGTATAATGGTCCCTGAAAGGTGCATGATCTCTACCACCTGTAAAGGACACTGCTGTTTTCCTCCTCCTCCTAAAGCACAGGTGTCAAACTTGATCGTGTCACGTGATGTATCGCAACGTTTTTGCCTTTGTGGGCGTGGCCTGCACGTGACGCATCCGGCCCGCAGGCCGCCAGTTTGACACCCCTGCCCTAAAGTGATGTTGTCTCTAATTTTCAAAAGTCACAAAAGAGATCTATGGCATCAGACTATCTGATGTATTGCAGCTTTGGCTTTGGAACCTTTGGCTGCAGTAAATCTGCTGGTATTTAACAGCATCTCAAAATGCTTTGGTTTTGTTGCAAGACTAACATGATATATATATAACTGATGCTATGAATTCTAAATGATACAGTACTAAATGGTACAACTCACTGTGCCTTTAAGAATATAGTCCCATTTTTTGCTTAGCTCATTTAAGATTTTCTTGTGAGTCTTAGCTAAGGATGCAAACTTTTTCCAGATGGATTTTTCCTTTCAGGCTGTGATGGTATCCCCATTTGAATAGCACTCTCTGCTCCTATCCCCTCATAACAGATAGTACAGTCTAGGGAGAAACAGATGTGATTAATACCATTAACACAATACTGTATGCAGAATTCATGAGGGCAGTATTTTAGAGAGAAAATTAGCTTATGCAAATGATAATTGTGTGGAGTGAATCACCTGCTAAGGTGACATATGTGTACCGTGTTTTAGTTAACAGTGCTTTTCTATGTGACTTCCTGTGTTCAGTGGGGGAAAGGATGAGTACAGGCGCTATGTGATTTTTTGGGGGTTTGGAAAAGAGCAAGAAGAGGTAGAGGAAAAACACACCAGGGCCCTGTGCAGACGTGCCAAAAAGGAGCCTCAGTGATTTTTTAAAAAAAATTCTTTGATAATGTCCAGAGCGTAAGTTGACATGATTCCATGTAAGCCTTTGTTAGGATAAAAGGCTGAAATGTCAAGTCCGTGCCATTTTCTGCTTTACTGGTAACTTCCACAACTCACTCTCTCTTACAAAAGAGCAATATTTGATTTTTATGGTGCTACATTTATTTTCAACAGTGTCTTTCTCTTTAGTTTTCTCATTATACCACATGGAAATAAACCAAGGAGTCATTTTATTACATGTTGCAGATCAAGTAGGGTTTTCCATTTTGCTATTCCTTGCAATCCCTTCAAAATGAGAGACTTAACATTTGTTTTTATCTTGTGGATATAAAAGATTCCCACATCATATGTCTCTGTAGAATTTCATTTGGTCATAAAAGCAGGAAGTACTTTTGTGATGAATAAATATGAGAGATGATCTTTTAAGATACATGTTTTGGTGTGTAATAGTTACTACTTCACCCCTTATGCCTCAATTCAAATTTGTTATCCCTTTGGAAAGAGTTGCATAACCCTTAAGAAAAAAAATGTTGCTGTGAAATAACTTTCTCCACTTTCCTGTCAAGATATATTTGAATTGGAAAAAAATGAAAAAGTCATTTGGGGGGAGAGGGGGGGAACCAAATTAAAATCCTGACGTTCTTGAAATTCAGAGCAAACTGCTGTGTCTAGCATAGTCTACATCAAAAGTACTCTTTCTGCAAAATAATAATAATAATAGAAAAATGGCAAATTACTCTTGAATTTCAGTATTTGCTGATACATTCCAAAATCGTTATCACTGAATGAAAAGGAAATATCATTTTCATGGAAATAACTCTCCTATCACATGTTGTGTTGTTTTGTTTATGTATCATATTCCAGGTATTACACATGGACGACATTCCAGTTGTAACACCAAATATAAGACTCAGGCTTAAAAAAAATCAATGAATATATTAGGTTATAATGCAAAACCAATGCACAAGAACAGGCAAGGGACAAGATGTCCTTGGTTAAGGATAGATTTTAATGCTGGTCTTGCTGATATTAAATGCAGCACCTAATTGGGTTTGCCACACTGATTATAGACATGGTGCAGGACATTTTTCACTATAGTCTGCCTAGCTCATTTCTATGATGCCTGCAGTTTAATGGCAGATGGCTATTTTTTGTAGGACGTATTAGCTATAGATTCTTTGTAAAGATGTTATGAAGAAATGCTTTTGTATCTGGAATTTTAAAGAACAAAGTGCATTAAGGTTGATGGTTCCTCTCTGCCAACGTCAATTGACAGCAACACTAGGCACTAAATGTCACACTTTGACCCAATGCCATCGTACAGTCCCTGCAGGGTTGGTTGCAATGTTATATTTCCAGGAAGTATGTGTCACCACAGATACAGCAGTAAGGCCAAAACAGAATGACAATGAATGGGAGCTTGCCAGCTTGATAATTATTCCAAGTATTTTATTTTTAAGGAGGGAGGGAGAGCAATTTGTGTTTTGGTGCAAAACTGAGATCCTGTTTATACAGCAAGGTCAAGATCCTATTGGTTACTGATTTTCCACTTGTAAAGTTGCAAAGACAAAGATAATACTAATTCTGTAACTTCCTAACCAAGAACAGAACAGGCCTCTCAAAACTGCCTTTATTTTCATTGTGAAATAAAAGGGTCAGGAGTACGGTTATCTTGATTAAGCTAGTCTGGTGGCTTGGTAATTAAACAGGTAAAAACAATTTTAAAATACATTGTATGAAGCATCTATACCAGGGGTGTCAAACTTTTTTCGAGGGCCGGATCAGCATCGTACTTTTCCTTCGTGGGCCAGCTGGGAGATGGGACAGACGCCCCCTGCAGTACACTGCCAGGCAAAATGGGGTGCAGGGGGGGCTGTGAGCAAGGCCCCCATGCCCCATTTTCAGCCTGGATTGCCTGTAGCACTTTGTCAGCCAAAATGGAATGTGGAGGGGGATACATGCACCCCCTGCACCCTATTTGGCCAGCACTGTGTTGTAGGAGGCCATCCAGGCCGAAATGGGTGCCCCCCCATTTTTGGCTGTCAGAGGCACCATGGGCCGGTCCTTTGTTATTTCCAGGCCATTATAGGCCACATTTAAGCACCCTGCAGGCCAGATCCAGCCCACGGGCCTTGAGTTTGACACCCTTGATCTATACTGAACTTTCAAGCATTTGAAGCATTCTTTCAAGCATTTGAAGCATTCTTTCAAGCATTTGAAGCATTCTTGTTGAACTGTCACAACCATCTTTATAAATTACCTAATAGAATTTGCAATGATTATAAAGTGATGCAAAACAATCCCACATGAAATTAGACCAATTATATTGTTACCTCTCTATCTGGGCAAGTGACTGGTGCTTTACATAGCCCCAGCTCCCTTCCCTTAAAAACTTCCAGCATATTATATCCAGAGGTGTCATTGGGGTGTGTCAAAAAGTCAAGATGGTTTGTGTGATTCAACAATTGAAGCTGTGTGATGCATGATGAAAAAGAGGCAGAGTTTTCATTGTTTAGGTGCGACGTTTCCCTCATACGATCTTGACTTTTTGAACAATCCCTGCTGGTGGATATTCCTGATTTATCTTTTGGGTTGTTATTTAGCAATAATGGCTCAGTGTCTGTCTGTGTATATTACTTTTTTTTTTTAAAGAAACCATTTTGCAATCATTCTTAAGGATTCATTGTCTCACTGCCAGTGTATGTGTGAAAAAGCATCTCTTTTGCTCACAACTGGATTCTCCCTTCCAGACAAAATCCATCAGATTGAGACTACCCAGTTCCATGTGAAGTAGAGTTGGACTGCAAGCTAAAGTGGTGGTTTATACTTCAAAAATTTCAATTGAAGTCAAAGTATTACAGAAGTGCCTCCTTGGTGCTGTCAAATGGCAGCTGTTTTTTTATATGCATCTGGTGTGCAACATATGAAAAAAGGACAGAGCTATGATCATCTACTTGCAGCTACCATGTTGACTTCTCTTCAAGCCCTTCTTACAAGCATACCTGTTTCATTTTTTAAATTTTTTTTTTTTGGTTCTGAGGGAGACGTCCCAAGTTGTCTATATGTGCCTTTCACAAGAAGACTTCTTTCCCTATTTGTTACAGGCTCTTCAGTGTCTGGTGGTTGAAGTGTTAGCCTAAGGGGTGGTCAGTAAATGTATAAAATGTATTAAAATATTTCATTGAGGTAAACCATCTTAAAAACTTCAAATTTTAACTGTTCACGCGACTCCCTTATTGCGTCTGCTTGAAGAACATTCTGTGAAACTTGAAAGCTCACCTAGGATTTAGGTAATTGCGTGTCTCCTCTTCAAAAAGCCCATCTATCTTCTAGTGTTGGCCTGTTTGTGACTATGAAAGTCGATCCCTAACAGGATGTAAAGGACTTAAACTCTGTGCTATTGGAAACATAAAAGGAAGGTAAACCACAAGGCACCAAAACTACAACTTCCCTAGCAGGTGTACAGTTTGTGCTGTATTTGAAGAAGCAGAAAATTTGTCTCTGCTTTGCTCTGTCTTCCATGTGTTCTAAATATGTGTCTTACCACAATTCCATTGAAACTTTGAAAAGGAGCATGTAGATGTGTGCAGGTGTGGAATTTAAAACTGAACAAAATTAAGTAGTTGGCTGTACTGTAATACGTTGTCCTTATCCTTTTATGCAACTATGTGCTGTAAAGTTTTATTCACATTTTTCACATTTATTTTGTAAATAGCTTTTACATGTGTAACATATGATAAAGAGTTTATAAGGATTTTAAGGGGAGTGGGGGAAGCCCAAGACTTTTATTATTTTTTTCCTTTTTAAAATGGAAGTTATACAACCGTAGATATTTTGGTGGTGTTTTTTTTTAAATAGAAAAAACAAAACTTCCTTGCATGGTTTGTCCCTCTTTTCATCTTTATGTTGTATAATATATATGGTCAAACAAAACAATTCTGCTTTAAATATAGCCCCAAAATTACAATTATATATATATTGGAAATAAACTGCCTTATTCAAAAAACAAGTTTGCTTACTTATTTAAAGCATAAGCTCTAGCTAGTAAAACACACTATGGATTAATAGTGTTGAAAGTATGCTATTAGATGTGATTTATTTGCATCAATTACCAATTATCCATAAGCAGAAGTTTAACAAAAGAAAGTTCTCTTCACACTCCACTGTAATACATTAAAAATAAACACATTATGAGATCCCTACTATTTTAAATTATGCAGCTTCCACATATTACACAGTTGATATTTTTCCTGCACGCATATGAAGCATTAGTGAATTATATCAGGCACTGAAACTGTACATAATCATATGGGAACTCTCTTCTTGTAGCTTCAGAGGGTTTATCAAACATCAATTAAATTTCAAGATTTTGCAACAATAAAATGTAGAAAACTGTTAATGGTAACAGCAAGTCAATTTTACTATTAATCTAAATAAAACAGAATTTAGATGTTAATTTTAAAAAAAAGATCTAATCTGGAATAAATTTGGAGGAGTAAATTAGTGTGCAATGATGCCTTTCTCCTTTTTCCACTTTTGGGCCTCTTTTTTTTTACTTGCTCTTCATCTTCTGCTTATATGTCAGTCTAGCTTCCTTTTCTTGAGCTCTCGACAGAGCAGCATGGATGTCACAAAAATGAGGGCATGACATAATGTGCTCGTATCTCTCCATCTAAGAGCTTAGAAAACAGAAAGTGGGCAGTACATCATAAAAGATAAACCCTCATCTTCTGGTAAGCTCCAAATCTGGAAATCAGTCAATAAGAAGTGACAATGTAAAGAATATGGTGTTTATACAGTTTATACACTCCGCAAAAGGTGCACATAAGAACAGCTTAGTATTTAACATGCTAATTTATAAACTAATTTAAACCCAAGGATTGAAAATCAAATAGAAATACAGTGTAGAATTCCTTCCTACAGCAGGGGAGATGGTCTGCATTCAGTCCTGATTGCTGCCAAAATGTCACCTCTGGGTCAACTCTCCCTTCTTTACCTTTAAGCCAGCCTGGAAAGATCCTTCAAAGACCAAAGACTTCTTCAAACAGAGGACACAGCTACTCTTGTTCCTGTTCCATCTGCTCAACTTCTTTGGTTGTATGGAATCCGAAATACCTGCCTCTAAGCAAAACTGTAAATCACATTTATTTTAAAGAATAACCCTTAAAACTGTTAATTCGCATCTGTTGTTTTTTAAAGGAGTAACCCCTTAAGAAATAAACCTTAAGAAAAGTATTATGGGGAGGAAAGAGTATTTTATTAAATTCAGACACTCTGCTAGAAAACACCAGAAATAGAAAAAAGGAAAAAGGAAAAAATTAAAGGAAAAAAGCAACCTTCCTTCATTTGGAATTTCTGACAAACAAAGATCACAGTTGTCACAGAAGAAAACATGGCATAAAATTTATACATAGGACTCTACCTACAGATAGCAGAAAAGATTTACAAAACTTACAGTGTATTTCAAGACTGCTTGTTTCAGTAACCAGTTTTGGTATGGTATCTTTTTTTTTAATATAGAGTGGTCTATTGTTTTTGTTTCCCTTTTAAAAAAAACAGTACATAATAAAATCCATGCGAAAGATATGTCATCAGTCCTTCATACACAGTGCTCAAAGATTTCTGTTTTATTTATTTTTTTAACCTTTTTTTTTTAAAGTGCTTAAAACAACAACCAGACAAGTAAAGCGAGGCTCATGGCATGCAGTGGTGATCGCTTCCCCCACAACACGCACATATACCTATTACATCAAAAGTACATGCATAGCTTGGTGCTTTGTAACTTATATTTTTAAATTTGACACAGACACACGCACGCACGCACTCACGCGCACCCACCCACACACACTTTTATTTTAAATAAAAGGAAAGCAGACTTATTTGTGAAAGTTAATTTACTGTGTTGCTCATTTGCAGTTTGATGTGACACATTCATATATACATACATTGTGCCACGTACTTAAAGGACAAGTGTATTTTTAGGCAAATGAAAGGATCTAAAACATAATTGCTCTGGAGATCACTGCCTTCCCACTTACTGATTTTTAAAGCTGCCTTAACAAAGATTATTGGCAGGATTTGTTAACCTGATGATCATGAGCTTCAATTTTGCCTGAAGAAATCCTTTGTCCGAAGTGACTTTTATGCACACCTCATGGCAGGAAGTGGTCACTTTAGTGCCTCCCAGCTATGGTAAACATTTCCCATATGGGTCGATTGGGCAGATGGAGTTAATAAATGGTTTGTAAAGACTGGGAGACTGGGCATTACTAGAATCTGTTTATATGCAGGGTTGCTCCATGGTTATGGCTTTGCTTTAACCCAGAGAAGAAAACTTATTTGAGTGCTGCCTAAGCTTTTTATGATTCTTTCATTCTACTCTTACAGAAACTTCCTAGTGACTTTGATTCCTACCTTGTGATGACATAGAATATCAGTTGAACTTTAAAAATGCTGCAGTTGCAAAAGTTTCAAAGTCATGCCTAGCATGGGGTGAAAAATGCTTATTCTTTTAAATGAAATCAAATAAAAATGAACTGAGACAGATGAAGAAAACTATTGAAAGAGCAGTTGAAATACTGTTTAAAATGCTGAAAACCTTAAAATGTAGAGAATTTTTTCTTCTCTTTCCACATCAACAAAGATGAGAATTATATAGCTGCAATGAGTGAGTCGTTATGATTCCAAAAATGATGGCTTTTTTCTATGCATTGTGACAAATTGTTGCAAAACAACAGAGACAGGTCTATTATTTTTTTTTTTTACTCTGAAAAAACATTTTCACACCTGCCTTTTAGGACATCTTTTCTTGCCACGGATTCCTTCTACCTGTTGTAAAGATTCCTTACAACATTTTAAATAAATACTATAGACAGTTTCAGAGAGACTGCAGCATGGATGAGCTAGTTTGTTGGTGTCAGAATGACACTGAGTATGCTAGTATTCTCCAACTATCTCAGCTCACATGATCCTCCATCAAGATGACTGTGAATTATGTAATTTGTGGTGTGCTAGGGGAATTTTGGTGAAATTTACTGCTTTTATGTGGTTCTCCAGAATACAGTTTGAAAACCACAATTCCATAAATGCTGGACTGGAGCAAGGCTTTGAATCCAATGATACTAATTTTCTATAATAGCACAATTAATTATTGGGTCACTTAAAATAGCAAACACAGATCTTATTGTTTTGGACTGTGGTCTACCCAAACAGTAGAATATTCAAATGTCTGATAGGCAAGGGCTTTCCCAGAGTTTCTACCCAGATCCCTTTAAGCAACAATGCCTGAACTTGAGCCTGGGGCTCTGGGCAAGGCAATGCACACAATTTATATCAGAGCTAAAAGTTCTTCACGAATCTAAACTAAGAAATAGCTGTTTTTGTTCTCAGCAACAAAGGGTTGTTATAGTTTTCAAAAATTATTTTAGTTTGGAACCATCATTAGAATGCTACACAGAGGGAATATGCCAATATATGATTAGAAGATTAGAAGAAAATGACTTTGAATACATTGAAGAGAATTATATATGTTATGCTGGCATGTCCGTCATTGAGAAAGTGTATTCACTAATACTTCATAGAGTAAATTAGGCATTCTATAACATAATTTGCAACTTTAGTACTCTCTTTTGGATATATATCTTCTGTTGGTGTTGCAGAAGAATTTTAATGCATGATAATGGTTACATATGTATGAAAAATGAAGTAATAAAATGGGTCTATAAAATGATGTAAGATAATAAAATCATACCATTTCAGTTTTTTCACACAGAATAGCATGATTTGAATTTTCAAATATTTAGCCAGACTAATGATGTAGCATAGTGCAGCATAAACCATACGGGCAGTATGCATCTGTTGGACATTTTCTAGGGGGAAAAAATCTTGGTTTTCCAATTAAAAAAAAAAGATGCTTAGACACAATCCAGCTTGTGTTTGTCCAGATAATACTAAAGGGTAATATAAAAAATAAAGCCAATATTCCAATGCTGAAAATTAGGTATTTTCCACTCCTGATAGAATGCTGAGCATTAGATAGCAAAAACTCAGTTGGGAGCTCGTTATGAAGAAAAGGAGAGCTAAGGTGCTCCCAAGCACTTCCACCTAGGGCTGGTTAAGTTAGTCCTAATCCTAAAACTTTAGGCAAGCTTTTGGCATGGAATCAGGTGTGAAGGTAGAAAGAAGGTGACCCTTTTGTAGTTTTAAACTGAATTTTTAACTGCATTGTTGTTTTAATTATTTGTATTGGCAATCCTGAATAATAGTCATGGGCAGAAATATTATGCATAAATCATTTAAATACAAATACAGAAAATAATTTGGCCTAAAATCTAATTGTTGTAGGTCTATCATTTCCAAGATAAGGTTTCTTTATCTTATTTTCTAATAGGAATTGTTTTATTTAACCACAAGATAACATTTTACTGTGGGATAAGTATAAGAAATCTATAGCTGGCATGTAACTGTCCCAAAACCTATACTCTAGTCCAATACATGGCACAACTTTTCTTTTTCTGATGCAGATGGAGGAAATGCAGTAACCTAAGACTTTAATACTTTCTACAATTTCATCATCAGAACCCTTAAAAGAAAAAACTTAAAATCCTACCTCCACCAACACACTCAGAAATCCAATATATTGTTAAATTAGGGCTCTCTGTAGCCCTAATTATCGTAAAATAATTAAGGGATCAAAAATTTGGCTCCTGGTGCATAAAATTTGCCTCTCGTGCTCTAGGGAAATAGTTTTATGTGATGTTGACTTTCTCTTGATATGTTGCTTAATTCCTGTATCTTCATATTGTAAATTTGCAACAAGGATATCATGTGCATAACTAAATATTCTATACTAAGGAATAGCCTGGGCATATATGAGAAGGGTATATGACACATGCATGTTGAAATCATATAAATGCCATTACTTTATGTGGTTGCATCAAAGAGTGTGATGTAAGAATGCAATCATGATGTTATCACATGTGCTTTGTCATTTTGCTCTCACTGATTTCACACAGATGCCACTATTGTATAGGACAGTGATCCCCAACCTTTCTGGCTCTATGGTCCGGCAGCCACAACACAGGGGAGGGAGAAGGGATGGTTTCACACATGCGCCCACCCTTGCCCAAATGGACCTTCATGCACTTGCATGCTTGCCCACTGCTTGCTTGGCCTGGTTCCCAATAGGATGGGGACCCCTGGTATAGGAGTTTTTGAACCCCTTTCCATAATGTATTATAATATGCTCTTTGTTTTTCAAAGACATTACAGCAATGTTCTATTTGTTGACTTCACTATTATAACTATGTCTTTTTTTTGCTGTTCGAGACTCACTGCCGAATTTTAGTTGTACAATTCAGTGTATTTTAATAATTTGAGAGTAAAGTGCTTTTCAGAATAAATTGATTAAATTTAATTTCAAATTTTAAAATGTTTCATTGGAGCTTCATGATAGAATAATATTGTAGGATGCTATTGTGTGAAAAAAATAGGGTGAGGAAGAAATCTATGATATCCTAACCTATATTAGGGGAAGACATTTAATCCAATTTAATCATTTTAGCAGGGTTAAAATGAGTAATTCTGTGCAAAAATGATATTGACCCCAAAATAATCTTACATATTTGGGGGTTCTGTAAAGCCCAGTGTTTTGATTTTTTTCTCTTTTGTTGCTATTTGCTGCAGAACAGATATTTATATACACTGTTAATTCAATTCCTCTTTTATTGTAGCAGTTCCTTTTCCCAAATTCTGAAAACAATAACTGGCAGAGTTATTAAATAATTTGTGTGTGCGTTTAATCTTTTAAGGTGAATAAGACTTCATACCTAAGACTTAGTCCTTAGTTTCCCTAGTTCTTAGCCAGCATAGATTGTATAAAATGTCCTTATTTTACCTTATTAAACTACAAATCCCAAAATGCACTGTGGAACATTTAAATTAATTTAAGACATATTATAGGATGAATTTATAATATTGTTTACAGTACAGAAAATTCTCACCAGATTTTAGGAATCCTGTTGCTTTGTTTTTTGAAACCACTTTTTTTCTGTTAAGTAAGTTTCTTTGGTCTTTGTCTAAGAACATCTGAGAGATTATCCAAGGATTTATCACTACAAAGTATTTTTTTTTCCAAATGAAGACACATATTGCCTCAGATCTTTAAAAGAGTTCCATATGTCTTATCTTAAAAGTAGGCTAGTGATAATATTTCTCACATATATTTTTCTTGGAGCTTTGAATCAGGAGTAACAATCAGAACTAACAAATGTTTATAAAAGATATAAAAAATATACACTCAGTTAAGTGAGCTGTAGTTCAGAAACATTTATGCCTTTTATAGTAATAACATTTGTAAAAAGACTATTAGACTCCTGATATTTAACTAATACAACATAATTGTCCTAGAATGCCTATAAAGGCTTGGAGTGGCTGGAAGCCCCTGCTTTATTTACTAGTAAAAATATCTAGTAATGCCACTTGCCATTGAATTTGAATTTCAGTAGTTAACTCCTGGGAAACATCTTTGTTATATTAAGGGTTCATTATCTTAAAGAGCATCAAGTTAAAGTCTCCTGAAAATTTAGGTCAAACTCTTTGCAGTTGTGTGGACATATTTACATATTTTTTTCCAATGAACAGTTGACTAATGAAATTTATGTAGAGTATATATTAAACCTTTGTATATTAAACCCTTGTCAATAAACTCAATAAATATTTTAGAACTGTTTATTGATCACAAAATGAATTTAAATGTTATTTTTTTTTAAAAAAATACATTTTACTAGATTTGGAGATCTATCTAAAATTTTAAGAAAATAAATTGATGGGTGATGGGCATATGAAAAAGTGCTTTGCCTATAAACTTTGTTAACCTTAGAGGCACAATCAACTGATGCTGAAGGAATAACATTATGTTTTACTTAGACATCTATTTCATTTGTTAAATATTAATTTATCCCTTTTTTATTCTGGATATGCCTATTTAAAATTTTAGATCGGTCCATGTTCTTTTGATCTTACACATTTTTTTAAGTATAGACCTCAGAACTGAATATGGTTCTTGATTCAAAATGTGCTGTAGGCTATTGAATGAGATTTATTAAGCATGGTGATGACAATAATGTAAAATTTTAAAAAAATATAAATAAATTAAATTAAAATTAAATTAAGAAACAAACACCCTACAATATTTCATTCTTCATTATTCTCAGAGCTTGAAGTGGGAAAGAGGAAATAATACATAGGAAAATTTCAAAGTAGATTAGAATTAATTAATCGTATTACAATGTAAAAGCATTTGCTACGAAGTTTAAATCAATATATTTAAATCAATATAGCTATCGTTTGAAATCAGTGGAATCACTAATAAATCATTATAACAAGAACACAATAGAATTTCTAATTTTGTCTTTAAAGCCTATGTAGATCATAGCTATTGATGAGGTTGGAAAAGTAAGGAAACAGACATTGGACAAATAACTTCTGTTCCCCACATGCCCTTTGCTGGTATGGGCTAAGGCAACCTTCCTTAATATGACACTCCGGTCTTTTCATGCATAATCTGAGGACTGATGGAAGCTTGGAGAAACAAAATCTCTTTAATCAAATGACTGATTCTTGGAGCTCCGCAAAAGAAGCTGTGGTCTGAATTATATGACTTTTGTGGCATTAATTAAAATATCTATATGTAATTCTCATGACTTTTTTTTAATCAATTGAGTAAGTGAAATAATTAAAAACCTATGGGGAACTTTCTACTTACATTTTAGGAAATCCTAGAATTTAAGTTTTTTGTCAAAACGCTGAGAGGTACAATCACAATTATGTGTATTCCAAGAATGCTTTTTCAAAAGGCATAAGGACTTTATTCATTTTTCCATGACATTTCGCTTCTGATCCAAGAAGTTTCTTCAGTTCTGATTGAACTGGAGCTTCAGTCAGAACTGAAGAAGCTTTTTGGATGAAAACAAACAAACATCTTCAAAGAAAAATAAGGAAAGTTCAGTTGCCTTTTCAAAAAGTTCCTTTGGGACAACCATGGCGTGGGTGACTGAGAATGTACACAAAACTTCTTCTGTTTAATTAACCCCATCTCCATCTATCCTCAAGTTCTTTGAAATATAAGAATCACAGCTTAAAGGCAATTATTAAAAGGATATGCCTTCAAGACTAATTACAAGTATATGTAATTCTTCTCAACTACTCAAATGTAGTTCTTTTTTTGCTAGTCTTTTGACTCTCCTTTCTGCCCAGGGCGCCTTAAGCTCCATTCCTGCCAGAGACACACAGATAAAGAGGAAACATGAACAATGGAAAACTGACACACAAGGGCACAAATCTAGAATGTTATAACTTAATGAAACAATTTCCACAATGTCAAAAGCCAAAACTAATAGGAACTAGAATGAGGCTTTTCAGGAGCAAGTAATTGCCCTATGGAATAGTACTTTTAGCTGTTTGCACCATCATTACTTAAGATAGCTTCTAAAGCATAAAGAATTGAATCAAGGAGAAAACAAAATCATTCTCTCTCTCTCTCTCTCTCTCTCTCTCTCTCTCTCTCTCTCTCTCCACTCTCTTTCTCTCTCTCCCTCCCCCTCCCCCATATACTAGACGCAACAAGAAATTCATTTTCTTTTTTGTCAATATTTATATATTTATATTACGTATATTATATATATATAATATGTAAATATATTTCTTAAAACAAATATATAAAATGTTAAGACACTTCACTGAAATGTAAAGAGGTTGCTTTTTTGTTTTTTGTTTGTTCTGCAATCCCAAGAAATTGCATTATGGATTGTTGTTACATAGTTAATTTTTAAAACGTTTTTAAAACTTTGTTATTCAAAAAAAGATTCTCTTAAAATTTTTATACAAAAATGATTTGATTTACAAAAGAAAAAGACAGAGAAGAGAAACCATAAAAAACAAATACCCACTTTCCTCCCACCAAAAAGTCCCAATAATAAAATTAAAAAGAACAAGGTAGTCAACAAAACCAGGAGTGATTACATCTTGTAATATGTTGCATACAAACTCTTCATTTTCTTTTTTACAATAGCACACCATTTTGCTATACACATGAAGAGGCATGCCCTCACAGATGCACGTATTCCATGTCAAATATTTATTCATATATTGTATGTGCTTAACATTTCAGGACATAAATCTGGGAGGGGGGGTGTTAATTATCACACACAAACACCACTGAAAAGAATGGGATTTGTGCCAGGATGTGTTTTTGCATCTGCCCAAGTACCATTGATTTCATGGTGGTTGTGCATGATGAGACACACACACACACACACCCGATGGGTTATGCCCTCCTTTTTTTTATTAAGGAACTTCCTCCTTCCCCCAGCCCGCTTCCTCTTGGCATGCCTTTCTGAACACATGCATATGGTGTTTTTATTTTCATAAATTCTCCATGATTATAAACACTCACCCACCTTTCTTGCCAGATCCTCAAGGGTTTCAGAGTTTGGCATTTGTGATTCAACCAAAACATTCTTCCCTTACCATACATACTCACATTCTCATGACTGATATATCTTCTTTTCTGTGCTGTATTTTTTTAAAAAGGTCATACTGTGCAGATCATCATGCAGAATCTAATAGAAAATCACTAACACTTCTGCATCTTATCAGTTAAAAAAACAGAGAATTATTTTTGATAACTTACTAAACATAAAGATAGGTTTTTTTCTATCCAAACCCAAGATGAAAACTCTTTTCCAGAGATACAGTAGTACATTTAAGTTTCTGGCAATTGCTCCATAAATAGTCAAGAACCACCCAATTTGGTTGATCTTTCTACAATCCACCACTCGGAAACTCAGCTCTTTTAGAGACTGAGACATAATCCTATGGGAAATTCTTCAATGAAAGCCCCACTGAATTTAAGGACTTTCCCAACTGTTCTTTCTTTCACTCCACGCTATCCCCCTGGCCCCCCTGATGCCATTCTTGTCTCCTAGTTTGAGCTTTCATAAATAAGGAACAGAATCCCTGCAAATTTCAGATTTTGCCAGCATCATTTCTGCAGCCTCATTTTGAAAAAAAATCTGACAGTCTGGACAAAATTACCTTTGCCCCCACCCCACCCCCTGCACCCCTGCAATTGCAGCAAATATTACTTAGTCTCTTTTGATTTGCTGCAAACTTCGCATAAAACTCTTCTTTGTCCTTCTAACTTAGCTTCTCTGATACCCTGACGCCCTCATCTCCCTGACTATTGCCTCCTATTTGGTATCCCACACATTTGGGGGGCTCTTTCCCCTCACATACATGGTCACTGAAGAGACATTTAAAGTGCTACATTCGATGGATTAATTTTCTAGGAAGCGTAACTTTCCATTTAGACCCTGTTCTCAACACTGTTCAGCTAAACCTTCTGCTACCTATTCTGGATGTGTCCTGCCTCCTTCCCTCCTTTTTTTTAAAAGTGTACACTTAAGAAGATTTGAAGGGGCCAATATTATTACCAGCTTGATATTCAGTGCTTTTACCCCCAAACCCTTTATTCTTCTGCTAAATGAAATCCAATGTTTTGGAAGGAACATTACCCCCTCCCTCCCAAAGCTATCAAATTGCAAGAGACATGCGTGTGTGCACACATATGCACACACGCACATACATACACACCCATATCCCACCCCAGTCTTTGATACAGCAAATAGAACAACAGAAATCCACAATAGTGGAAGCACACACATGCCCCAAAGTCAAAACACCATTGATTCATGAATGATTTAGCACATACCTACAAAGATTCATATTAATCTATTAATTACAACTACCTTTGTTTTTCATATAAGGAAAGATGAATAGCAGCAATGTCCAAGGGGTTCTGAGGCATCTTCAGAAATGGGTCTCTTCCCTTCCCACCTATAGGCTTATGATATGATTTGGTTTCCCTCCCCCACCCATGTGCCCAATAATGTCCTTGTTGCTTCCAAACATGCTGCAGAATGTTTGAATATTGTTTGAACAAGAACCTAAATTGCCAGAGTAGAAAAGTGAGATTGGGCTAGGAGTGGGTGAGAAAGGGCAGGGAGGATTAACGGGAGAAATCGAGACCTCGTCAGTCACATTATAGCTTGTAAACGGATAAACCAGTTGGTCAACTTAGGAACTGAAGAGGTGAAACAGTCAACTAGCCATTCTTGGGCACACTAAGATGCCCAAAGTGACCCTTTTGGCTAAGATCAAGTGTAGTATAAGTATTGGCCATTTTGGAAGTGGCCAAGATTGGCCATTTTGATGTAATGCTGAAAAGTACAAGGAAGGGGGAGACCTTTCCGAGGTGCCTCAGGAAGAGCTGGGAGGAGGAAACAGAGAGACACAAGCCCTCCCCAGACCACCCCACCCCCACCCCCACCCCCATTACAGTATGTAGGAAAAACTACCAACGGAGAATTTGGCAAAGGAGCTTCTAGAATGAAATGGAGGAGTTCCGTGACCCAAAGGAAGTCAGAACTGGGATGGAGGTCCTGCCCGAAGTAGGTTTCTCTGAGACTGGGCTGGAAGTCTCATTCCCCGTGCCAGAGTCCTTGGTTGATCTAGCGGCCTAGAAAGAAAAGCGAGATTCAGGGAAAAAAAGAAGGTGAGGGGGAGAAAAGGGAAACGGCAAGGGAAAAACAAATATTTTCTTCTCAAAGGGCAGAACAAAATAGAAGGAAACAAAGAGAGAAAGGGTAGGGTAGGGGCTAATTGGGAACATTTCTTTTAGAAGCTGGAACATGAAAAAACCTAAGGCAAAAGGTGTGCTTGACAAAAACATGAGGTCAAAGTGAGTAGCTTGTTAACAAGATTACTGAACAAGGGCAAGGAGTGTATGTGAGACAATATAAAGAAGACAGAATGAGGTGAAAGAGAAGTCGGGTGGGAAAATACAAACACACAGGCAGGTTGAAAAAAAGGGATTTAGGGAAATGAGGAAGAAAAAGAATTAAAATATTTAGTTTGTAGCCATGGACAGTAAATTAGAACAATATTATCCTATAGCAGAAGCAGGCAAAGCAAAAAATGAGAATAGCACAAAGGAGGAAAGGAATGCTGGTACTTGCAAAGGTGCTGTTTATCAAATTTAGGCCCAGAGAAACTATTTTTGGTTGGGATCAAGAGATATCATTTGTTTTTGAAGAATGACATAATATGCAGAGTACATTTTGGATTTGGCGTAGAGGGAAGAAAGCTCTTTTTTATTTTTAATGCTAAATATTGTAAAGTTTTTTGAGTAGTTCTCAGTTTGACAGCTAAAGATGTGGTAAGGAGAGAAAGAAAAAACAGGTGAGTGAGAATATAATATAAACCCATTGTGAATAAGCAGGCTTCTTTTACAGTCATCACTTAAGTGAATTCTATCTATTATACCTGGCCATTTTGTAATCCCATAAAAGACCTTTTCTTCTGTAGTTGAACACACACAAAATAAAATCACTTGTCATGGGGATTTGTTGTGGATTTCACACTAAATATATTAGCAAGGCACTCAGAAATGTACTTGCTTGAAAGAGAACTGGAAGGGTGAACGATAAAATCCAATTCAAGTACTAAGAAGCTACACTAATCCATTCACGGATACTTCTGTGATAGCATATATATCCGTCATGCTATTCCTCTACAAGATAAGAGACATTATGAAAAATGTAGAAAAGGAATAAAAAATATTAAGCCAACAAAATTAAAGGTATGAGATACAGGTAGTCCTCAAGTTACTACCACAATTGGAACAAGAATCTTGATTGTTGAGCAAAAAGGTTATTAAGTGGGATACCAATGTGACCGCATCACTAACAGCCACAATTCTGGCAATCCCAGTTACAATTAGAGAAGAACAACTTCCTGCCAAAGGAGGCAAGCAGCTCTCTACATTGTGCAGAAGGGAATTTATGTACTGGACTGGAGAAACAATGCTGGATTCTTAATGATCCCCACTTTGCTTCCCACAGTTTCCCTGTCCTCTGAACATAGAAAGAAACTTGTGTGATGGCTGAAGAAACAAAACACAGATTTTTACAATCCCTGCTTCATTTCTCCAGCCCAGCGCACAAGTTCCTTTCATGCAATAAAACTACATACAGTGTATGCATAAAGTTCGTATTGAAATGCAGGCAAGCCTAAATATATGACTAGAAGCGCTGCAAATAAGTCATATCAAGAAGGTACTGGTGGTATTCTAGAAATCAAATTCCATAATCCTCCTCCAAAGATATTATATAGCGGGGTGAAAACACTATTCATATTACTCTAAGCCTCACCTCCCTCTGTTGCCATTTGTGCCAAAAGCAATAAAGAGGGACAATTCTGATGTAACTTATTCTTTGTAGGTAAGAATTTTTTTTTGCCAGAGATGGCTTCTAAATTTTTGCCTTCATCACCTACAAATCTCAGCCCACTTGCTGTTTCAAATTTTGGGTCATAGCTAGCTTGGTGATAAAGGCAAGTGTTTACTGATGCATCTGCACATCATTCAAGTAAACCGTTTTGGAAGCTGACCTTTAGAAATGTTCCCAACAGGCAAACAGCACCTGTGCTAGGTTTGTATTGCAATAGTATAAATAAATAAAAATAAAAATCGTGGGATGCAGAGATATAGAGTGAAGGGGGCTATGCAGAGAACAGTGACGAAGGAGGGGGTTTAGATTCATTTTGCTCATAATGTATATCTCATAATAGACCATGTTTCCCCAGTCTGATATCCTCCAGATACATTGGGACTACAATTTCTAGAACGTTGCCTGGGCATTTTGAGAGCATTACTTTTAATACATCTAGAAACAAAATGCAAAACATTTCAAAAGGTCAAAAGAAGACAGCCAAATTCACCACCAGCCATTTATTCTCCCACGTTTGGAGTAAGAGGGGAGAACTTGTTTATATATTGCCAAATGAGCAAAATGGAGAGTCCTTTAGGGAGATATTGAGAACATGGGAAAGCAAGTGTCCATGGTCTTTGATCTACTCACATATGACAGAAAAAGAAGACAGAAGCAGGAGTGAATTTTTGGGAAAGCATCAGCAAATCAAAAGTGCGTAGGGACCAAAAAGAGGAAAGGATTTATGGAAAGGAAAGTCAGGTCTCCGGGAACAAAGGGGGATGGGGAAACAGGTAGATATGTTGTGCTTAAGGAATGGAAAAATGGTGGTTGTTACCTTGCTTTGTGGCCTCAGAAAGTTGGCAAGCCACTGGGTACACTGTCAGCATCAGCAAGAACACAGAAGCATGTCAACCCAGCTGAACTTCACTGACTAAACCATTAAGTCCCTAACCATTACTAATGCACTTAGACCAGTAGGATGGCAAGAAGTTTGAATAAATAGCGAATAGAGATACCAATAAAGTAGAAAATTTGTATTGTGTTTGTAATTCCTTCATTTTCCAGGGAATGATAAATCAGGAACTGTCTCTGTGCATTGCAGTTAAATATTGCAGTCAATTAGTTTATGTTCAGATAGGAAAGGCTCAACTTAGTGCTGAACAGAACTGCCTCAATAAAAGTTATATTCACTATTTGCATTGGATTTTCATTTGGAAATTTATAAAATTTAGCCCTCTTCCATCAGAATCATAAAACTGACAAGAGTTTAAATCTTAGACTGGGAAGAATTAAAAAATCTTGAAAAAAGACAGTGATGAATCACTTCTGTACTATATTGTTGCCAATAAAATTATATGGATGTATCCATGGTCTTGCCAGGAATCAATGTCAAATAAAAGAGGACTTTAACTTCCCAACTGCAATCCCAATATAAAACCCTTGTATGCTGCATTTAGATGTGGAAAAATCAAATTGTTAATGCTGTAAATGGAAAGTTTGGTTTTCTTATTTCTAATTGTGTTGCTGGGGAAGAATTTTTATTGTGACTACCTCTACTGTGAGGAAAATGAAACATCCTATGTTGCCTATGTAGTTGTGAAAGTGGGGCATTAATATAGAGTTAAAGCTATATGCAGCTGCAGACTGGATAATTCACATAACAGCTGCTATTTTCATTGTAAACAATTTTATACAGCTGTTATAAAGGCATGTAATATACTGCCAATGTTTGTAGCTATGGGAAAGACAGAATCATGATAAGAACAGTACCAACACTAAAATATTCTCATTAAAAATACCATTTGTCATACTTTAACAGTCTAAAGTTTAGATTGCTTGCCTACCTCGTTCTCCATCCAAGCATATTCACAAACAAAGAACTGTATGACCAGAGAAAGAAAAGGAATGCTGGGATAGGGCTTTATGACTGGGTTTCAAATGGGTGGGGGTGGGGAAGAGCGAAGAGACTGCTAATATAACTTGAATTCCGGAAAATGGACTGGGAGCCAATCCAGCCAGAAAGTATATTTAAACCTTGCCTAAATGCTGATGACAGTTCCATATAATTTGACTTCCCACTGCTGAAATCTAGAGAAGGCTGTTTTGACTAATTAAACTTATTGGGATGCTATGCAACAGGCATGTTTATTGCTTTGTCTACCTTGCTTAGATGAGAGCTTGCAATTTTCCAGTCCTGTCTTTCAGGCCTTTCTACACAGACAAGGCAAAGCACTATAAAAAATATAAAACTGTCCACAGAATTTGAGTTCGATCCTAGTCTGAAATCTAAAAGAACACCCAGTAGGTCATTGAGGTATGATTAATGTATTCATCATGGCACACTCTACATGTTAGGGCTCCTCAAATGGACCCAAGAGATTAGCTATTTCTCTTTTTTTGTGTGCGCAAGAGTAGCTCTAGCTCATTAGAAAAGGAAAAAGGAAGAACAGTTGTAGAATATAGAAGGGCTGAATCATTATAGTCTGTGGCCAATATCCATTTCTTGGGCAAAGTCCTCAACCAGACAACACCTTATCAGATTTAGACATTCTTCCATCATTTCTCAATACATGTTAATCATTAGGTATAGCATAGACTGGGAATTTATGGGTGATGAGCCAGACCAGCAGAGTTTCCAGAAAAAGAAAAGATGAAGAGATTGATGATTGTATTTTGAAAGGCAGCTCCTCATGAGGAAGTCTGCAGGACCAGGAGGCATTGAAAGGGAGCTGAGGAAGAAAGATATAGCCTCAGCAGACCCTTTATGGACATCCGATACAACTCTGCTCTACCTGTTCAGACACATTTGAAATACAGTTATTTAAATGCTAAAGAGATCTTCAGAGCAGCAGAGCAACCAAACCATCCAGTGAGTGCTCTTATGGCCTGGGATATGTTTAAAGGAAAAGACCGGGATGTGGGGGGTGGGGGAGGATTTAAAAATTAATCTGAGCAAAAAACAAACAAACCCCTCCTTACCAACAGGTTGAACTATAAAAATTTTAATGGATAAAGGGGCCAGTGGATTTTAAGTTCCTTCAAATTAATTAAATAAATGTCGCATACGTCCATGGGAAAAAGTTTATGTTCTCCATTGGATAATAACAAATGGATCATTATTTATTTTTACAAATTTTAAATTGTGATGTTATTATGTTATCCTGAGAAAGATGTTTTGATGGATGGGATCATTAAAATAAAATAAATATCAATTCATGCTCAAGGGAACCATCCAGATGAAAATAAATAACTAAGTATTAAAGTTTTACCTCCAAGTCAATGGGGAAAAATACCACCTGCATAGAAACTGCAGCATCTATGAAATATCAATGTCTGGCACAATAAGCTTAGAGTCCATGAGTATTTTTACTGATCTCTTTAAAAAAAGATTGCCACAACTTGCAACTTTCAGGGACCAACTCATTCATTTTTATATTGCCTCCCAAACGTCTTATTATTAATTCAGAAAAATAAATTATAAAATAATTGTATTCAAAAGTATAGGTAGTAAACATATAATTTATATTAAATAAGAAGAGATATTAACTTCTATTTGATGGTTCTTTTTAATTATTCAGAGGATTTATTTTAAATTTCTCCTTATTCAATATTTTGGTTGATATTGATTGTTTTTCCTCAAGCAATTATAATGCATCTATTGTAATTGCTCTAACCTTTTTCTGCTTTTTGCCTTCAAAAAGTATTGCAGAGTTACTGTGAACTGACCTTTTTATAACTCTTGCAGAAAGTTTTTTTTTCAATAGCACCTCTTACGACATCTCTATATTTGGGTTATTATAATGTGCCAGGCATTCCGAAAGGGTAAATTCAAGCTAATGACTGAAATCTGGGTGATTCTTCTGGAAGATGCATGCAGATGGTCCTTAACAACTGAGGGAGCTAAAGCCTGGGTGAAAGGGGTGACTTATTTTGAGATAAACGTAGATCTGGAAAAATAATTGTTCTCTAGTGTTTGGTGTATATATACCTGCAGAGAATGGAATAATCTCAATTTACACTGTCACTGTTAATAAATAAATAAATAAATAAATAAATAAATAAATTTTAAAAAAAATCTCTTCATTTTGAAATTCCAGTCTGTAAATTATTGTGTACTTTACCTCAGTTAGGATAAAGATCAATACAATTTTAAAACCACATTCCAAATCTAAAGGGCTATTAAGGATCTACATTCAAAATGGATGCAAATGTGCCTCTCTTCATACCCACCCAAAGCCTAAGAGACAGGACTATTTTCCTGGGAACAACACCCCCCACCCCCCAACTGCCAAAATGAAGAGTTGCTAACCTGTCTCCTTGGTCCCCCAGAATAATGGCAAAGTGGCCTACAAATAAACTACCTGCTGTTGTCCCTGGATGCGCATGTATTCCATGCGTTGCTTTATGTGTTTGCTTTTGTCTGGGCTGCCTTGCTGGGTTTGCTTTAGTCGTGATGCTGGATTGACCATCTTCATGGCTGGAATCGAGACACCGCCACCACTCTGGGGAAATAACAGATTAAGTGATATTGTTGGGGATCGATTAAGAAACAAGGATGTTGAAAACTGACACAAATAATAGCTTAAGGGGTTGCCTTTGGTTCTGCAGTTGTGATGACATAGTGTGAATTGGCAGCTGTGTTTCCTGGCAAAAGCAAATGCCTCTGTCCACCAGTAAATTGAATTGCTAGGATGTCATGAAATATCTCCAAGCATTCTAACTGTTCAATTACCATTTGTCTGATAATTTTGGCACAAAATGCACCAAAGGACTATTTTTTCCTTTGAATTCTCATCAGGACAAGTATTTATTGCAACTTTATCTGTTTCAATTTTATTGTGTTGTGGCACAAGAAAGTTTAATAGTTTTTAAACATAAAACAATGTTCCACCAGTATTCAAACATATTATATTACACCACCAAACACATCACATTCTTTGATCAGCCTGTCAAAGAACAGACAGATGATGATGCCATAGGCTCGGGAAATTACAGAATGCGAGTTTTGTACAAGTTTTTAAAATGAGTCCTTACTCTGTTCACCCCAACTTCCTTTGCCAGTCTGAAAATGCACGAGACGTTTGGGGAACAAGAAGAGTTGAACAAAGAAATAGAGAAGTTAATTGAATAACAGAAAATAACAGAGGGATAACGTAGGCATGAGATAAAGGGTTTTATTTTTAGCATATGGGTTTCTTCATACAACTTAATGTAGCAGATCTAGCATAGGTAGATGTAAAGCAGTTCCTGTAGATAGATAATTTATGCTCAAAAATGTAATAATAAATATGTCTTATCCTTCACCTCAAGCAACTTAAAATTACTAGTTTTAAAAGTGTCAAAAATCTTTTAATACTGTAATACAACTTTTAAAAAATAATAATTTAAAGCAGTGCCAAAATAATTACAATTTTAGCCAAGGTATTGATAAAGACTCACATCACATCATAATTTATCTATTCAAATACACAGAAAAAGTAGGAATGTTCTACCTATACCAATTCCAATGAGGACGAAGAAACCAGTGTGCCTACATAAAAAGCTTAGTGAAGATCTGAAAGCAATGAGAACCACATTTAGGAAGGATACTGACAGAGCTGTAGAGTTAGTGCCTAAAAAGTAAAGCGTGGAATGACCTGAGATACTCACACTATAAAAATAGTTTCTTGTTCAAAGCAAAATAGCCAGGATATTAACTGAACAGTGAAAAGGGCAAAATGCTAACAGATTGTACACACAAACACACAGACATGGGCAATGCTGCTAACACTTGCTTTGATTCGATCTTCTCCAATAATAATATAAGTAATATAAATATAAAATGGATAAAGGAAAGGGGCTGAAACATGATGATGATGAAAACATTTTCAGGATATATCTGTCTATGACTAAATTTAAAACTGCAATCAGATCAGCACCATCCCAGGTATTAACTGATAGTTTCAATGAGCATTTACATAGTATGGGAGGAGAAAGGAAGTTCTAGGAACATTAATGGATCCAGGAGCTATTGAATAGTCAGTTTAATATTAACACTTAGGAAAATTTTAAGTATTTGCATGTGCTTTGAAAAAGATGAGGCAATCATCATCAGAAGTCAGCATGAGTTTTCTAGTGGTTTTGCATGATTAACTTTAATAGATTGGAATACAACCTTAATAGATGGGGATATTGAGAACATAATACATTTTGATTTCAACAAGGCATTTTTCAAAATACCCCATTATTCTGATTAATAAATTTGATATCTATGGGCATGACAATTAAACTGCTGCAAAGCTAGCTTGAAAGTGGTGTGTAATGAACACTTAAACACTCTTCATCAAATTAAAGACAGACATGTACTATGATGAAACAAAGTTATGTTCTGGATCTTCTAATTTTTAATATTTTTAAACAGTTTATATTATTTTATCAGCAAGATTTAAAAAGTGGAAGGAAATATTCTAGGGTGATACAAATTGGGTGTGAGAACCCACACTCTAAAAAAATCCTTAATAGTAAAAGTAATGTTGATAGGAGAATAATTTACCAGGAGTTAATTGCGTTCCCTGTCAATAGATTTGTTCACAGGATAAACAACCAACAATTACAAATACTATGAGCAGGGAACTAATTCAGTGATATAAATGGTCCCTTCTAATTCTATGATTTCTCCATGCGGATTACAAAAAATGCACCAACAATTTACAGACAGATCTACAAAATTGTATGCAATTTTTATACTGAACTTGGATTCTTGAGAAAACTGCTACTCTGATTTTATTGATGCTAATTACTGTTTGTGCTGGATGAAAGTAGATGATTAAATCTAGGAATCCCATTTCCAGTAACTACTTTTAAATAAATGTATCTTTCACTCTGTCAAATGCTTTATGAATATCTAAGGATAGGAAGAGTTTGATACACTTAGCTTCTGAATTAATATAGTGGCTATATGAGAGAAGAGACTTCCTGTGTTTTATTCCCATCACATATTAGACAGATTTGGAGTATTACTAATGTTATCTATATATTTTAATTCCCTTCCCCAAATTAAACAAAATTATCAGTTATGTGCAAATCCTTGCCTGAAATCATTGTCAAGACAACTTGGCTTCATTGTACAGTTCACAAGTTAGAATTTCAACAAGTTTGAACATAATCTTTATTTTAATATATTGATATTCATGTCAGTATATATTTACATGCAGATACCAGAAACCTAAAAATATTAGGTTTCATTTTTTCTATTTTCCCAACAACTTTCTAGTTCTTAGGGAATGTTCATGAAATTTGTGCAGTCTAGATTCAGAGATGGGTCAGAGGATTAAATCCGAATGCATACGTCTTTGTATGCCTAAAGGCTGTCAACCAAATTATAAAAATATTCTTGATTTGCATATTTTATGCAGGTTATAATTTTTGAACAATTTCTTCAAAATTGTTCCTTTGATAAAAAGCTGTATGTGAATGTGAGCACATGCATATGTAATATATTCTATTTGAAAATAATAAAACAACTGTAAATATCTGTAAACCCCCCCAAAAATTAAGCTCTTTAAAGGCTCATAGATATCAAAAAATAAAAATAAAAATCAGGCAATCATAAAAAAAATCATCTCTCATGTTTTATTAACAGGATTGAGAATGTTTAACTTGCTAATCGATCACAATTTGTGATTAATTTAGGTTCCTGGGTACTGCAACTTAAAAAATGCTAGTAGTTCTAACTCAAATTTTGGCTTACAACAAGAAGATTATAGGAGAATTATAATCATTGTCTTCACATATTTAATTTTTGGCATGGGGGAGGGGGAATAATACAGAGGAAAATGCAGGAAGCAGATTAAAAACAGAAGTTGAAGCACCCAGATATCTGAAATAAACTTTAGCTGCCAAATATTATCCTAAAAACCTTTGGAGGATGCTTATCAAATTAAGGACTTTGTTCTCAGTTACTTATTTAGGTAGTTTGGGAAAAATGTAATAAAGTGGAGATTTTGTCTAAGATCTTATTTTAAGAAACTAATTAGAACCTGTCATAATTAAAGTTAAGTAAACAAAAAGACATAATTATATTTAAGTAACAAAACTGGGTAAAAGCCCAGCACCTTCATTGCTCCCAGCTGCCTTCTTTCTTCCAATTTCATAGAGTTTTGCTGATTAATGTAGCATGTAGAAGATTGAATCTTTATTACTGCTGATTTGAAAATTCATGGAAAACCTAAGCTTCTGTGCAATAAACCTACTGCCTATTTTCCCAGTGTGCAGATAAATTGGAAGAAAAATGGGTGGGGTATATTTCTTTTTAAAGGGAGACCAAAGCAGGCCTTTAAGCATTGTGGTCACATTGAAATATAACACTGCTAATGTCTGGACCTGAAGTAGTATGAAAAAATGAGACCCTTCCAGCTTATGTAAAAGAGGGGGGGGATCTCTTTTCACATAACTGATAAAATTTGTTTTAAAGTGCTTCCTCTTCCCAACTTCAAAGGAAAGGAAAGAGAAGAATGTAGGAGGAGAGCAGCATTTTATATTTACAATTCTGTCTAAACTGACATTGTCAAGCTTTCATCTTATTACATAGCTAATTCCTTTAGTAGTTCTAGAATTCCAAATCAGAAGACAACATACCTTCCTAGCTCTTTTTGAAACAATTGGAAGAGAAATTAATACTGTAGCTATAGCTAATACATGTACAGTTCTATACTGGTTGGCTCTATAAGAAAAGGTGTTCTTAACTGCATTTCAGAAATAGAAAAAAAGAAGAGGCCTGTTTTCATCCACCAAGATTGAATACTGTTTGGTGCAGCCTCTTGTGTATTTGATCTATTTTTTACCAATTCAAATTGCAAAATGTTCTCATTTTATAGACATGTAAGAAGTCCATAAAACCTCCCAATCTTGGAAAATAAATAAATAATCTGCAATGGCATACAGAGAGATTTGTCCTCTCTGCTATATTTGGAATGGAGAGTGAATTCAGAAAGTTTTCATGTTTCACTCCTAAAACAAATTCACATACTTTAATTAAGAAAGCCAAGTCCATTTTTTAATCAAAAAATGGCTTCCTGGTAACTAAAAGGAAAAGATTTTGGTTGGTTCACAAACCTAACTCTTTTCTGGGATTTGGTAAGAGAAATACAGTAAATACAAATCTAAACATCTAGTTCTATACAGCACAACATCCACCTTCTCCTTATCTATTAATGAAATAAATAGATTAAAATATAGAGTATGCTATCAGCTGGAAGAATTGGAGAGCGTAGCTGGACAATCTGTGGTATTTTTTAAAGGGACAATGACACTATCCATTTAAACTCATCTAAAATTATTTTCACTTTCTATCCCCATCATATCATTTCAAGCTATTTTTTTTTCTTATGGTGGTCATGGATTGCTAAAAAATTTGCATTAGATATTCAACGAATTCCCCCCTCCCAAAACTCTATTTTTCCATGATTGAGAGTGAACTACAGTTGCTGAACAACCAAGCTGTGCTAAGTAATTTAAATTTGTA